GGATTATTCATTCTGGATGCAGAGATAATATTTTGATGGCCAACAACTTCTCCTACATCCAGACAGCAAGCCTCCACACTCGCCACGGATACTATCTTAACTCCGTGACGCCGTGTGAGGAAATCAAGCCCATTCCCACCCTGAGCTGCCATGCTTTCTAAGAAAGCAGGCAGCACTAACAAAACACACACAAAATAAATACTAAATCAAATAAAAAAACTTAGAAAGAAAAAAAAGAAAGAAAAAAGTAAGGAAACACACGACAAAAGCAAATACACGCGCTCACACTCACTAAGCTCTCACACATGCTCCACAAACGCTCACGCATGCGCACGAGAGAGAGAGAGAGAGAGAGAGAGACTTTTAAACATCTCTTTAATCACCAGAAGAAGAAAAAAATCAGTAATTTTTTGTTGTTGTTTTTTTTTTCTCCATTACAGCTTAAGAAATCTCTTAGGCCTTATCCTTTTCTGTCAGTTTTTGGGACAAAAAAAATAATAGAAGCACTTAATTTGTAGGGCACCGACAACATAATTTGGTAACACTTTATAATAACTGCACACTATGAATCATTAGGTAAGCATTAGAACATGGGTTTTGTGTCTAATGTTTTAAAATGTTTAACAATTATTATTATTAAGTATAACTGGAAGAACAATGTACCTCACTCCAGAAAAGATTCAAGGACATATCATTTATAAAAATGATTAAAATATTTTGTATAGCAATTGTCTACTTTGCACATTTCTCTCTGTGATTTGCTAAAAAATTATATTTTTTACTTTAATTTCAGAGTTGATTGAAGAAAACGAGGAGAATGAAGAGGAGAAACATCACGTCAAAACTGGAGAAAAACCTTTGAGTCGCTCTCAAACCAAAGAGAAAGATTTAAAGAAAAGCAGAGACAAGAAAAGTTTCACCTGCACTCAGTGTGGAAAGAGTTTGGCATGCAAACAGAGTCTCGAGTTTCACATGATGATCCACACTGGAGAGAAACCATACACATGTGATCAGTGTGAGAAGAGTTTCAGACAATCAGCAAACCTTAAGAAACACATGAACATTCACACCAGAGAGAAGCTGCATGAATGTGATCAGTGTGGAAAAACATTTTTGTGGGCTTCAAACCTGAAGAGTCACCTGAAAGTTCATTCAAAAGAGAAACCACATTCATGTTCTTTGTGTAGAAAGAGTTTTTCACTGCTGAAGAATTTAAAATTACATCAGAAGATACACACTGCTGTGAGAGATTATATGTGCTTTGAGTGTGAGAAGACTTTTATTACAGCTGAACATTTGAAGCAGCACCAGAGGATCCACACTGGAGAGAAACCTTACATGTGTTCACACTGTGACAAGAGATTCGCTCAGTTAGCATCTCTGAATTCACATGAGAGGATTCACACTGGAGAGAAACCTTACAAGTGTTCACACTGCGACAAGAGATTCATTCGGACAGCACATCTGAAATCACACGAGAGGATCCACACTGGAGAGAAACCGTATCACTGCACTGCATGCGGGAAGAGTTTCACTCATTCATCTAATCTATGCAGGCATAACAAAAAGATTCACAGTCAGTAGATCATCTTCAGATGCAGCACTTTCAGGTCTGACGCCTCATCCTCACCAAACGTGACACAATAATGCGTCAAGCAATAAAATCTCGTCTATATAAATCTGTCCTAACAAAGAAACATCATCTTAAGTCCCCATGAACAAAGTTCATCTTCAAGACCAGCAGTTTTTGTTCTTTGTGTGGAAAGTTTTTCACAACTGCAGAGTTTAAAACTACATCAAAAGATACACACTGGTGTGAGAGACCATATGTGCTTTGAGTGTGAGAAGACTTTTATTACAGCTGAAGATTTTAAGCGGCTCCAGAGGATCCACGCTGGAGAGAAACCTTACAGTTTCATCTGTCAGATTCAGATCAACTCAAAGATGGAGTTCCTCCCCAAAGAACAATATCCAAAAGTTTTATTCTTGTCATTTTACTTCATGATTTTAATTATATCATTGTGTTTTATGAGTTTCATTCATCACTTTTGTTTACCCTTTTTATGAAGGAAAGTCGTTTTTTTTTTTTTTACATGTGCGAAACGTTCTTATTCTGGAAGCTGAAGAAGAATCTGTAACTTTTAAACTGACATTTATTTTTATCCTGTTCTTCGTTGTTTTTAAATCAAGTAGATATTCTTCCATTTATGATGTATTTAGAAAATCCAAATGCAAGATGTACTGTAGCATTGCAACCGATCCTCCTTTGCTCGTAAGTAGGGATGGGTTCCAGAACCAGGTGCTTTTGGTACTGGAGAAAGCACTTTTAATTGGCTATTTTTTGTATTTGCTTTGAGTGATCATAGAGTAAATGTTACCTCTGTATTAATACATGATCTTTACCACTTACAGTTTATCTGCAACTTTTATTGTCTGCTGATTGTATTTGCATCAGTAAAAAATAACTTTATAATTTTAGCTGTATCTGAAAGCCATTAGTATTAAGTCTGCTTTGTGGGATTCTGTTTTAAATTTCTCAATAACGATTTTAAAGCCTAATAAACTACAGTTGTGCACATAAGTTTACATACCCCTCTCAGAATATGCAAAATGTTCATAATTTTAACAAAATAAGAGGGATCATGAAAATCTCATGTTATTTTCTATTTAGTACTGTCTTGAATAAGCTATTTCACATAACAGATGTTTATATATACTCCACAAGACAAAATAAAAACTGAATTTATAAAAATGACCCCCTTCAAAAGTTTACATACCCTTAAATCGTAAGGTGCTAAAGCTTTTATGATTTGTCAGTTTCTGGACATACCAAAAGATATGTTAATGTTCTTAATTGCTATGAATGCAGTTATCAGGAATTGTAACAATGTTTAGATTTATATGCAAAAATTATAATGGTTGTGTCTGTCTTTATATTGCCTGCCATTTTTTCTGTTATGGATCTCAAGATCATACAGTCACTGCTGGAAAGCGGTCTGACTGTCCACACATGACTGACTGTCCATCTGCATCATTAAACCGTACATAAATACCTCAGTCTGAATATAGATACATATGAATGAACACTGAGTTTCTACCACAAACACTTTTTTTAAAAAGTGAGATCTGCTGATAAACTTGAATGGCTTGTGTAATGAGTGCTTATAGTCTGAGGATCATCAATATTATCAGCTGCTGAAAATCCTCTTTATTTCATGTCAATAGATCCTGTTTTCACCTCATTCATTATGCTGATGACTTCAGATCTGTTAATTGCAGCATTAAGCTCATTTTATTGCTGTTAACAGACTTAAACAAACAATACGATCAGCTATTGTGACTTTACAAGATGTAACTATCACAACATACATTTTTTTTTTCAGAATTCTTTGATGAATAGAAAGATCAGCATTCATCTGAAATAAAACACTTTGTAACATTATACACTACCATTCAAAAGCTTGGAGTCAGTTGTTTTTTTTTGGGGGGGCGTTATATAAATTAATACTTCTATTTAGAAAGGATCCGTTAAATTCATCAAGCAAACAACACGATCAGCTATTGTGACATTACAAGATAGAGGTAAGTATCTAATTTGTAAAATTATATTTCTATTTTTATTCTTACATTTTTTTATCCTTACTTTGTTTATATTAATATTAATTGTGTGGGGTTTTCCCCACATTTTTTCTATATTTCATAAAAAGACAAATGTAGGAATTTACAGTTTTTCTCAATTGCTTTGGCTCAATTCTCGAATGAAACTTTTTTTTCCCGAAACAATAAGTTCAGATCTCTGAACAATTAGCTTCTTGTTCACATCAGATTGGAATTTCTTATTGATTTGAGCGTCCACCAAGAATAATTGTATTATTATTACTTATTTGTTGTAATTATTTGGTATTTTTGTGTATTTGTGGTAACATAAGAAATATGAAATGTACAGTAATTGGACAAGCAAGATTTCACTTATATGTAATGCATTCGTACAAAAATAAATGTACTGCATAAATACAAATGTTCATATACTTTTTTTTTTTTTTCTATGTACTATTGACTCTTCTCAACAAATTTCAGATTTTTTTATAAAACCTTCATTTCCATGGTTGACTGTCATGGTGAAAAAACAACTAAACATTTTGACCAGTGTGGCTCACACGATGACAAAAATACTTTATATTTTGGTGGCCTTGGCCAAATTACTGACACGATAACTAGGTTTTGAAGCATGAATGAAATGTTTTGGGTGAGTAACTACATTTTGCAGACATGCAATAAAGTTCTGAAGTTCCAGCAAACCGTTGTGACATTTGCACTCACAGTTTAGAGAATGTTAAGATTGTTTCGAAAAATGTGCGAAAGCAATTGAGAAAAACTGTAAATACGTGGATAGAATTCTTAGAAAATAAAAATGGATACAACTTGTGAATTAGTATAAAACACTTTGTGATTAATTTACTAAAAAGCTACTTTAGAAGATGGATAGATAGGTGAACATAAAGAGTTTAATAGTAGTGAATTAGTTTAAAATCAAAAACTCAGTAACTGATTTATATTTGATTTTGGCAGATCTGCTCCTCCTTCAGTGAAGCTCCTCCCACAACAATCACACCTTCAGTGAAGCTCCTCCAACTGCCCTTCAGTGAAGCTCCTCCCACTGCAGTTCAGCAATAAATGCTAGAATATTCCCATCAGTCTACAAGTGAAGATGAGCATCAAAGCATCAGGAAGAAGTGAAATCTGCAGAGACAGAGTTTATTGAAGGACAGCGAGAACATGAGAGAGCCAGAACCCTGCAGAATGAAACACACTGAAGAACAAACAGGTTGGTGTTTATTCTTCATCCTTCATCAATGAGGCTGAAAAAACAATATGGTTATAAAGCTTCAAGCAATTCATCAGATGACATCGGAGGTGTAAAGTATTGGAGTAAATGTAATTAGTTACTGTACTTGAGTATCTTTTTGGATACTTTGTAGTTGTACTGAGTATCAAAGATATTAGCAACTTTTACTCTTTACTCCACTACATTTGAAATCAGTGTTGCAGTTACACATTACATTTTGCATGGACCTAGCTTTTTCTGCAGCAGTTTATTTCTGCTACAAAAGACGTGATATTGCATATTACAGGTCACTGAAAGTACTGCATCTTGTGCGTTTTGCCCTTACTCACCCAAACTTGTCAACAAGGCTACTTTATGTGAATGCGAGTTCCTTAGCAAGTATTTGTGAATCAGAGGTGTTTTATATATGAGATGAGGACATGACTGCAGCCGGCAATGAGGCCGTTACCTGACCTGAATATGTTCATAGATTTGTGTTGGATGTTATCTTTGGAATGGAAATATTAATATTTTCTATGTAAACATCATACATTTTCTCTTATTTCATTGTCATTGTCAATGTCATAAAACTAGCGAGCTAAGCCAGTAGTAGTACTTGACAGTGTTGTGTAAACATGGCTGAAGATGAGAAAAGCGGAGGAACAGACAAACTGAATCAATCAATTGAGTCATTTATGCTGGAACCGCTCCGATTGATTCAAACTCGTGACTTCGATCATTCAGTTCAAGCGATTCACTAACAAAAAAAACAGATCAAAAGAGCATTTAATTTTCGGATGTCGACATCGCTTGTAATGATTTTAAAAAGCACGTCGTGATGGGTGAAACGAAAATTAAATTCTGAATCAATTATATATCCATTAAAATGGATACAGAATTCAATTATATATTTAAAGAAACATACAAATGTAAGCATTTTGTCCATATCAGCATATAACAAAATCATTTAGTTTTCACATTCACTCAGATAATAATGTTCCTGCTTCTGAAGTAACTGTACACTCTAAAAAATGCTGGGTTAAATATAACCCAGCGCTGGGTTAAAAAGGGACAAACCCAGCTATTGTCTGAGCCTGTTGTCAGATTCTTATATCTGTTTGTGTTTCCGTTTTGGTTTTTTACTTTGTTTTCCCTCAAGTAAATAAAGACCTGCATTTGGACCCAGAACCTTGTTTACACGGTGTGTTCCCTTACCGCGCCGTGACCCAAGCGATTTGCTAGCAAAAACCAGGGGCCGTATGTATAAAGCCGCTCAGAGTAAAATTTTAGTCTTAAGTGTGTCAAAATTCTAAGAATGACGTAATTTTACTCTTATTCCTAGATTTAATAATAAGGCCCCATTTACGCTAGTGTGTTTTCGTTTTAAAACACATAACTTTTGCAACGGTTATGCTTATCGTTTACACTACTCTGGCATTTTCGACCCTCGAAAACAGACTTTTGAAAACGCTGCAGACCCCGATTTAGTTTGAAAACTCCGGGGTTGCGTTTCAGTGTAAACGAACCAAAATGAAGACTTTTGAAAACGATGGCGTGGCTGCCCACATTCGCTCTGCATATTCTTGACGACCATGTAAACAATAACATCATGCTCATTATTGTACCCATAGATATGTATGGGTAGATTCCCCATTCGACCTCTCTAAGCACGTAGACGCATCCGCCATCTAAATAATAGGGAATCTACCTATACATATCTATGGTTGTACCTGCATGAATGGTCACGTGACATGCGTTTTCGGTTGTGTAGTGTAGACGGAGATCATTTCTGAAACGCAGCGGAAACGCCAGTGTAGACTAGGATCGTTTTCATTCTAAAACATTGTTTTAAAATGAAAATGCACTAGTGTAAACGGGGCCTAAGAGTGATTCATAAAGGTTCCTAAGTGTT